ATTCCCAGAATGGGCTATTACTTTAATATACATCAGATTAGAAAGTTCAGTTTCACTTCCCCACCTTCTTCCCCCAAATACATTGACATTAGAAGGAAGATTACAAGTTGATGAGAGTACTGCAAGCTATAAAAGAAACTAATTTGAAATGAGCTGCCTCATGACTTGCTCCCCCATTAATCACTTCTATGTAACTGTTGCATTCTTCAATATAAGCTTTGAAAGCACCATTGCAAAATGGGTTTTCTCCCTAAAATCAGTATCATGTTTTAAGGCTGAGGCAGTATTCTGTCTCTTTGAAAGGCACATCATGTTTGGGTGATATCACAACCTACAGACAGTAGACTGGGCAGCTTGAGTTTCTAGTCCTGTTGAAGACAGCAAAAGAAAGTGAGTAAAATAAAGTGCAGGATTTCATTACCTTTCGTCATGTTTTATTGCATTGTGCATATCATCACTTTTAATCCTTACTATCAGTAGAACATCCAATTACAGGAAGCTTCAGATATCGATTACTTGTTTAGGTGGGCCATTGTAGTACTCAACCTAATGCACAGCATTTCAAATAGAAACCTATATCTCTAGTTGATATATGTACAGTCTCAACCATCCCAAGCTTCTTTGCAAAAAGGCTGATGTGGAAATGTGGTCTGCCTGGATATTTTATGCAAAGACAAGTAGACATTAGGAGAAGGGTTTGAAGGATAGTTTAGAAGCTGCGTTGAATCTACTGCTTAGTCAAATGTTTCCTGGGATAACCTCACAAGTCATTTAGGACTAAACTCACAGACAAATGATGCCCAGCTCAGGAAGATGAGCATGCAAAGGTCACTGCCTGAACTCCACGTATGACACTGAGGAAGAGAAAGGCAATTGAGAGAGGGATTCGCAGAAACAGTTTCCGGAGCAAAGAAGGATGTGGCAGGTTAACATAAGCTAGCAAGCTGCAATTCAATGGAGAAAGGACTGTACCTAAAGTTGTTGGAATGTGGAAATAAGACTCACACCACAAAGACCAGCCTATATTTAATCTTCAGAGTTATGTAATTGGCTGTTAATATACTTCACATTTTAAATACAGCTTAAGAGAAGATGATAATAGTGCTGCCATTCATCTTCTGCACAACAACTAAAATAGTTGTTTCCTTTAGCTGTTCATGAAGTCAATAGAAGAAGAAGAGTCACTGGAAGAAAAGAAATAAATAATAAGCATTCCAAATAGGTTTAGTGCTTTTCTTTTCTGCAACTCAAAATCATAATGATGATTTATAAATATTCTGCCTTTTTTTCTAAGGTTTTGTATGTAAGAGTATATCACTGCAGGGGCTCTCCAATTTATGTGTTGAATTTATGAGTCACTTCCATACTAATCTTTTTTCTGATTTAGGGTACTGAATGTTACCATTTAAGTTACCATTAAGGCTCTAATTGACTTCAGTGTGGAAGGCAAGCAGTGTAAGCTTCCTTTAAAATAGTTTGGGAAGTTTAACTATATCATATTAACTGAAAACTGAGGTCATTTTATGACTCATCTTTCATTTTTAAAAATCTTACTCTGTAATCTTTAAAAAACAAACTTGATTGCTGAGAATAATTAGGCATAGAAAGTACTATTTACATTGTTCAGTCTTTTGATAAATGTCCCTCATTCATTAAGAATCTCCAAAATTAGAAAGCCACAGTCTGGAGCACAAGTCAGATGCAAAGAAACAATCCAAAAGTAAAAAACCGGAGCTTCCTAGGCTCACGAGTCCAACATTGATTGTTTCAGATCATCTAGAAGTTTCTCTTTCAGGCTAAACTATGCTTTTACCTGAAAAAGTTCATCATCAAAAATAGATAAATAGGAACTTTAGACAGGCAAGCTAAGTTACCTGGAGCTCTCTAGAGCTATCTGGAGAAGAATAAGGTCCCTGTACGTGATTTTGCTCTTTCTAGCAGAAAGGGGTCATAAACCTAGATGGTGCTCTGATCTATTCAAATGAGTAAGAGAGGTGAAATAGAGATAGTTCTTCCTTTTTGACAGTCACTTTTCATTAAGAGACAACCAGGAAATACAGATGTATAACTGCCTTTAAGCATGGTGTTCTCCATAATAGTGAATGGATTTTTATTTTTTTGGATCTTACAGTGACCACACAATAGGGCTAACTTAGCCAAAAGAGCTGCTGAGAATTAGTGTCTCAGAACAATCCTAAATATCTTCAAAATACGGAAGATGTGTTAAAGCAGAGAGCATTGCCCTTGCATGTGTCAAATTCAAACACTGAAGATGCTTCAGTTGGTGACAGTCATGAAACATGGAGAGATCCATCTGTTTGGCGTATTTGAAAAAGGTGTTAAAAAGGAAGCATTTTTTTTCATGTAGCTAAGAACATCATTTTCGTGAGACCAGAGTGTACGCCCAAAGCAAGTGAAAATGGGATGCACTGTCTTTGGAATGATAGTCATTTGAACTCTCATACTTCTCTAATATAACTAGAGGTGAAAGAATAGAGGTAGGTGAAAGAAAGCACCTGAGTGCTATAGTTTTATATCAGAAAATGAGGTGTGGGCCCTCTCATTAATCCCTACATCCCCACCATCCGGTTTTTGTGGGAAACGCATAGCTTGGAGCACTGCCATGGTCCTGTGGTGACAGCGAGAGACTGCTGATGCCAGGCCGTGAAGGAGTGCTAGAAATAACACCTGCTCCCCTTCAGATGGAGATAACTCTGTGAGAAAACTGTGACAGCTGTTAGAGATAGGGGACACAGCTCTGATGGATAAGAGCATTTAGAGGGCAGATTTTGCTCTAGCAGCTCTGAGAATACTTGATAACTTCCATAGCACAGTATGGCAGGAGATCAAAGGCAAGCATCTTCTGGAAATCCCTTTCTGTCAACAATGTACTTGGATGATTTCAACTTTCTGTGAGGAAACAAAAATAAAACAGAACCCAAATTATCTGTTCCCATTGCTTGGCAAGGTCTTCGTGAGAGATTCCCACAGATCTGAAGTGAATGCTTGCTACACAACATTCTGCCTTCCTATCAGAAAAACACTGGTCAGTCAGCACTGGTGGGTTTCTTATTACTGTAGAAATACTTCATTTAAAAGTACATTACAATAAAATACTTGTAAAGAGAGCTGAAGGAAAAACCATAAGCAAACCTTTAGGGCCACTAATTCCACAATCAGAGATACTTGTATATACTTAAATAAACAAGCCTTATATAGCTTCCAGGTGGAAAGTAGATACAACTTTCATGCAGGTTTGCAGCCTTTTCCAGATTCCAGAACTACATCAATATGTTGTTAGAATCACTATGGTTATGTACAGCCACTTTTCCCAAAGTTTTTACAGAGAGAAAAGTTTGCTGTTTTCACCAAATTCTGAAGACTTTTGAGTCTTCAAGCTGTGCTGTGGATAAGGCAGCAATTTAATGGAACATTGTTTCAATTTCTGAAAACTAATAATATTTTTCAAAGATTCATGCTCTAGTAATAATGTGAAAGTAATAGCTAATAGCACCTTTGCAATTTGTTAGGTAATGGCAGATCATGCCTTAATGCAAACCGCGTTAGAACAGTCTTAGTATATACTCTTAACAACAGCCAGGCAAATATTCCCTTTCTTTTTCCCCCTTTTAGGGACTAAACATCTAACCTGACAACCTGTAAGGTTAAAGACATCAGAAAGCACATTAAACATTGAGCAGTTTTTATCTTTTGAAAACTATCATCACTAGTAACAGCTGCAAAAGGATTTCATAAACTACATTTAAAATGAAACGAGAGCTGGAGTCAGGTGAAAACTAGAAGGACCTGGTAATTTTTGCTAATTAAAGCAAAGTCTGATCTAAAAAAAAAAAAAAAAAGTATTTAACATTAAGGAACTATATTTCCATGCTAATTTCATACCTACCTATTCACCGTCATGCAGCTTGTAGAGCTATCTATAGAACTATCTATTTTCACATATGACTTCCCATGTGCTTGTGAAACATAGATATTCCATTACATGCTGTAAAATCACTATCCTAATGGGCTGCAACACAACCGCTTGCATTATTTCAGCCACATTGAACTGAAAAATCATATAAAGACAATGATGTTGATATTGTAACACAGTAAGGGCTAAGGTCAAGCAGCTGTGAATGCAAGAAGCAAATCCTGGGTAGGGCCAGCCTTGAGGCATAGGGATGTGAGTCATTATGACTGCATGGCATGGATCCTGCATCACCCCACATGGCTGATGCAGGCGTAACTACAGAAACTGCAAAGCATAATGCTGGCTGTGCATATAACTCTGTAAATATAATGCTTGGAATTTATTACCCAATAAACTATGAGCAAAAGGTTACTATTTGAAAGACAACTTTGCAGAAAGAATACTTACACCTGATACAGCAGTTAAAATTTTATGTACAGAAGTTTATTCTTTGTGATACTACAGGATTTTATGAAGTATATGAGTATGTTCAGTACAGCTACTAGTATAAAAATAACCACCTTTATAGAATTCTACCACAGCTAGTTAAACTCCAACCCCTGTTTTGTTTTGGTTTGTTTTTCAAATGTACCAGTTAGTTCAGTGCACTGATGGTCATTGCTCCCGGTTTATGCTAGTTTATGTTGAAGACAGAATTAAGGAAAGCAGGCTGCAGAGATCCTGCTGCGATCATTGTTCACCCACCTAAGGACCTCTCTGTGGTGAGAGAATCCCAGACATCCTTAGATGGGACTCACTGTATCCTATAGCAAATCATCTATATGGTCATGGTCTGTCTTGATGTTTCTCCTCTGGGAAAAGCACATGGGACAAAAGAGATTCAGGGTCTGGTTATTTTGTAGAAAATGTGGATAGAAGATCCTCAGGTGAACAAAAAAAAAAAGAAAAAGGCAACAAGAAAGGTTGCACTGCTTAAGCTAATCACTACTTAGCAACAGCTGAAACATCAGTGTATTATCAGCATTATTTTCATACCAAGTCCAAAACACAGCAGTGTACCAGCTACGAAGAAGAAAATTAACTCTATTCCAGCTGAAAGCAGGGCAGACAGGTAACAGGGAAAAGCCTCAATTCCTTTTTTGCTTCAGTTTTCATCGATAATGATCCAGGAACTACAGGACAGCCAGCCTCACTTCAGCCCCTGGGAAGGTGATGGATCAAATCCTCTTAGAAAACTTTTATGGTCCTATGAAGGATAAGGTGGCTAAAAACAACCAACACAGATTTACCAAGGGCAAACCATGCCTGATCAACCTGATTGTTTTCTGTGATGAGGTGGCTGGTATTGTAGATAAGGAAGAGGGCAGGTGATGCCACATACCTTGAATTTAACAAGGTCTTTGACACAGTCTTCATAGTCTCAGTATCACCAAATTGGTAAGATATAGGCTGGATGCGAGAACAATAATGTGGGTGGGAAACTGACTGGACTGCTGGGCTCCAAGAATTGTGATGGGTGGTGCAAAGTCCAGCTGGCAGCCTGCTAATAATGACATCCATCAGGGATGAATACCAGGTCCAACAGTGTTTAGTGCCTTAATAGCATGAATAGCAGTATACCCTCTGCAAGTCTGCAGACAACAGCAAATGTGGAGGTACAGTCAATATATTGCTAATCAGAGGAACCTAGACAAGCTGGAGAAACAGGCTGACAGGAATATTGTTAAAGCCAGCCAAACTTTCAGCAGTTTTATAAATTATCTGGATGCAGGAGTTGACTGTATGTTGTTTAGCAATGATAATAAATGAGTTGCTGTGGACTCCTTTGAGGGTAAAGGGTCCTTGCAGAGACATTTGGATAGGCTAGAGAACAGGGCAATCACCAACTGTAGGAAATTTAACAAGAGCAAGTGTAAGATTCTCTAGCTGGGGGAGGATAATCCTGGTTATTGTACAAACTGGGGGACAAGAGTTCAGAGAGCAGCCCCTTGGAAAGAAATCTGAGAGCTTGGGCTAGTGTCAAGCTGAATGTGACTCAACAGTGTCCCCTGGCAGACAAATGGGTCAACCATTTCCTAGGGGACATCAATCACAGCGTAGCTGGTGGGTTGAGGAAGGTGACTGTCTCATTCTACGCTGCACTGGCACGGCCCCACCTCATGTACCGTGTACAGTTTTGGACATCTCAGTATAAAAAGGACATAAAACTGTCATGATGTGTCCAGAGGAGGGCAACCGAGATGGAAAGAGTCCTCAAGGGCAAGATTTACAAGGAGCAGCTGTGGTCACTTGGTTAGTTCAGCTCAGCTCAGCTCAGAGAAGGCTGAGGGGTGACCTCATTGCAGCCCACAACTTCCACAAGGAGGGCAGCAGAGGGAGAGATTCTGATCTCCTCTCTCTGGTGACCAGTGTTAGGGCACAAGGAAATGGAATGAAGCTGCACCACTGGAAGTTCAGATTAGACATTAGGAAAAGGTTCTTCACTGAGAGGATGGTTGGACACTGGAACAGGCTTACCAGGGAAGTGGTCACAGTACCAGCTCTGTCAGAGTTCAAGGAGCATCTGGATAATGCTCTTAGTCATATGGTTTAATTTTAGCTAGGATGTCAGGGTGGACAAGTGGAACAGGCTTTACAGCTGCAGCAAAGGCCATTGGTATCCTGGCTATAAAAGTGCAGACAACAGATTCAGGGAAGGACATTTTGGTACTTGTGAAATCACAGCTGAAGAACTGCATCCAGTCTGGGGAGTCCCCATTACAAGACAGAGAAGGACATACTGGAACAAATCCAGCAGATTTATTGATTTGAGAGAGAGATCACTATCTCATCCTGAACACCTATCTGTTAGAGAGGAAGTCACATGAATTTGTCTACTACAGGTACCTGAGTTGAGGATACTTTACTTAATTCATCAGGGTGAAACAGCCTAAAGCATGCTTCCAGGCAGAAATCATTTTTTAGATTTGGAAATGCTCTTTGGGGTCTCTCATGCTCCCACTGCCTATAAAAGGCAACTGAGGGATTTCAGCACATAACATAGTGGAGCTACCCCCAAGCCTTAATTCTTTTTTCCTTAACTTTCAAGAAGAAGTTCACAATTAAGTTGTGTCATGATTTAGCATCTTTAGGTATTCAGAACTCTCTGCTTGTACTGTGACACGTGAGTGAGATTTAGGAGATTTCGCGCTCCACTTCTCTGTGGTAAGACAGTTTTCAGCAGGCAAAGACTTCTGCTGCAGTACAGCTGACAGATATCCAGTGGAAGACGTTCCTCCACTTGTGATTACCTGAGTGACTGAAGGACTTATGTAATTAGACTAGTGGTATTTAAAATATATATAGGCTTTGAGTTATTCTCTACTATGAGGCTGAGACATGGACTCCATGCAAGAGACAGCTCACAACGCTGTCAAGACAGGGAAGCTGTTACAGGAGACACTATAACAGTGTAAATATCTAATTTCATTGTTACTATTTTATTCTAATTTATGTTAATATTTTAATGCATGCAATTTCCTACAGTTCTTATCATTACCTCTTTGCACACCATGGGATTAACATACCCCAAAATCCACTAAACCCTTACATATTTGGTTCTGTATTGAATAAATCAGAAATGAGGACTTAAGCAACTAGCACTCTGTCCTGTATTTCTTATGGTGACGTGTATTCAGACTTTGCCCCCCCTGCACTTTCAGTGAGCCTCTATTCCCTCAGTGTCCCTGAATTGCTAGTCTCTAAACCAGACATGTATTGACACTCAAGGTATTTTCTACCTGGTTAACTCGAGAGCATGGCAAGTGTCAGGACTCACAGCAGAACTCCCAGTGGATGCCAGTTGTCTTGCACAGACACTTGCAAGAGAATTTTTTCTCTCCATTCCTCACCTGTCAGAAATACTGGTCTCACCCTCTTTTTGTGTTCAGTCAAATCCCAAGTTCAGCTATAACTGTGTGCAATTGCTACAGTGTTATTGGTGCAAAGCCTGGGGAATGGGAGGTGGAAAGCTTACATATCGATAATAATTACTAAATATCTGTTTAAGCATGCATCTTGAATATTATCTTTCAAGATATCAGGTTCAGAATAAATGTTCAGAATATATGTTTAAATAACAAATCGCTTTTTACATTATGTACACCTAATTTAACCTTTCTTTTTTTTATTACCAGACCTGTGATTTATGATTTAGCCAAAATAATATATATGAAAAATATATGATAAGCTAGAGTAAGTCTGTGTCCAAAGGCCTCTCCTTGTAGATACCAAGAGCTCTTGAGTTTTTATAAAAACAGCTGCAACCGATTATATACAAGACAGATATCTTTTGCTCTTGATCTGTCTAAAATGCATTTATAGATATATAAATGAATACATTTTCATCTCAACTGCATCGTTAAAACATCACTGTCCCCTGCAAGCTTGCATATGTGCAATTAACAGAAGAATTTGGTCCCTTGCCTTCTGTCAATTTTAATGATGATCTTTGACCTGTAACAATCCTATAAAATATTGCCATACACGCTTTATTGTATGTTATAAAATGAGTGAGAAAGAATTTACTAAACTACTGCAGCTCATCATAATCTTATCTGCTTAGAGAGACAGTTGGCACTGCTTTCCCTTAGCAACAGCAACAAAAAGAAGTGAGAAGCATAGAGATAAATGATTTCCTTCATAAATGTGTATTAAACTCAATATTTTGAAACATGGATATCCAGAATGAAGGCCCACACCAAGTATGAAAGCCTTGTTGAAAAAGTGACCTGTTTTTTAACTGATACTTGGCACCCATCCACAGCTTCCTTTGGTTTCTCTGAGCAGAATTTAGGCAATTATCACTGATTTTGAAAAGCACAAGCAAAATACCCGTGCTAAATGCATCTGAAAATCAGACCACTTATACTTAGAAGCATAAACTTTTGCCCTGAGATAACAAAACCATCATTCACAGGTCACAGTATCATTTCTATCACATTGTTAATAGTTCACAGAGCATGAATAGTGATCAATCACAAGTCCCACACTATAGAGAGATTCTTCGTACTCTTTTTCTGCTAACATCCTATAAGCATTTCACAAGGCAAAGCCTCTTTTTTTTTTCCTGGACCTAATTCCAACAAAAGTCATGTATGGAAGACATCATTATCTTTTTGCTATGATAGCTACTGCATTTTGGTGGTTTGGTTTGGTTTGGTTTGGTTTGGTTTGGTTTGGTTTGGTTTGGTTTGGTTTGGTTTGGTTTGGTTTGGTTTGGTTTTTTTAATGGATCAGCAACCGAGACAGAGAAGATGTGAAAATGAACACAGCATTTTTAAGTAATTGGGATAAATGAATGATGTCCAGGTAAAGTAGCCCAACAATTCTTAGTTTGGTAAGAATTTCCTGTTGCATCTGTTATTAAGAAATTTGTCATTGCTTACTACCTCTGAAACAATATGAATTTCCAGTGAAACACTATGGCTTTCTTATATCCCCATATTTCGTTCTCTACCAAATTCCTCTTGCAGCTGACTCTACATTTCTCAGACAGAGCTGTGCTAGCCCTTTCTGGATCCTGTATTCAAAGCAACCAAAAAGGCAGTTAGCTACCTTTGCCAAAGCATTCTGTCTGACCTCAAGAAAGACAATGTCATTGCTGGTTGTGTTCAGCTGTTTCCACTTTCTACAAAAGTGTCACCTTTCTACCACTATAGTTAGCAAGGCTACAGCTTGCAACCTTTAAGTAGAGGAAACAGTGAAAGTTCCAGCACATTCATTTTCAAAGCTCACATTTTCTCTGTCTTCAAAAGAAGATGACTGGGCAGCATTCTCATCAAAGCATCTTCCTGACCCATGCTTCTTTTTATAACTTCTGCAGGGCTAACTGTCTCTGTCTCAGAAGGCTTTCAAGGTGTCAGTGCTGAAGGTTTTATCTTTCTGCCCATAAGCTTTAGAACTGGTGAACCTAATAAATCATCCTGAATTGTACTGCAGTATTCTCACAGTTCTTTTGAAACTTTGAGGACATTTTTTAAGTCAAGTTCGTTGAACTGAATTGTTTAATAACCAGTTTAGCTTGTCATACTGCACCTTTGAAACAGTGAGTCTGTCCTGGGTTCAGCAGTAGCAGTCATTTTTTTTCTTTCTTAGTAGCTGGTGCAGTGCTGTGGTTTTGACTTTCAGCCTGGGAACAGTGCTGATATTACCTACATTTTTAGTTGCTGCTCAGTAATGTTTACTTTGACCAAGGACTTTGTGAGTCTCATGCTCTGCCAATGAGGAGAGGAAGCCAGGAGGAAGCAGAGACAGGACACCTGACCCAAACTGACCAAAGAGGTATTCCATACCACAGCACGTCATGCCCAGGACGTAGAACTAGAGTTAACCGGAAGGGCCAGTTCACTGTTCAGTCAGGCTGGGTATCAGTCGGCGGATGGTGAGCGGTTGTATTCTCTTCCCTTGCTATTTCCCTTATCATTATTATTATTGGTGGTAGCAGTAGTGATTTGTGTTATACCTTAGTTACTGGACTGTTCTTATCTCAATCCGTGGGAGTTACATTCTTTCGATTCTCTTCCCTGTGCCTCCGGGAGCAGGGGGAATGAAGAGGGGAAGTGAGCAAGCAGGCTGCATGGTTCT